AAGACTTTAGAAATAGCACAAATATAGTTTCATTTTTTTGCTATTTCTAACCTGATGCACAAGACATTTGGCATCTTGGAGAGATTTGGCTTGAATAAAATGACTTGTGAAGATCTCTGGCTCGTACACACTAAACCATATTAAAACACAAAGTAAGTTTGAGTAGTTTATTGATCAAGAACTTTTATACTTTTACTTTAGTATTTTTTATAAGAGTAATTGTACTTTTATCTGAGTAGTACTCAAATATAGTACAGTGTGTGTGCCCATGGCAATGAAGTAACATGTTACCCACTGCAACACTATGACACATTGATGTGTTTCCTGCATATTATGATATGCAGGAAAATGTACTAAAACAGGGAAAATGTTCATGCATTAAGGAATCTTACACTATAAAAATAAGCAATACTACAGCATGTATACCATTCATCCATTTACTATACCGGGTTGCTGAGCAGAACAAGAAAGGGTTATATTCACAAATAAGTTCACCAAGAGCCTCTAGAAAAGCATCAGTGCGTCACAAATTATTCCGAGTTGTCTGGACTCTACTGGAGGGATGCCATTCTTCCAAAACATATTCCCTCATTTGATAGGGAACATATATTATAATGTTCTTCTCATTTATTCAGATTTTTACTTTAACTTGCCACTGGTATATACTGTACATGTGTCTGGTGTATAAATGTAAGAGTAACTGCAAACTGCAAACTCCTTATTAGGCATATTCAATTAAAATAGATAATGAATGGTTCATAGGTTGAGGCATATTCATGAATATGCAGATTTGGGGTTACATGTGCATTAAATCTGCCTATATTAATGAAAAGTTGTGAGTGTGTGTGTGTGTGTGTATCGTTGCTGCTTTGGCATTAGTGATATCCCTTGCTGTCTCTCATACACACACATCCCCCTGCATCGCACAGATTCCTGGAAATACACCCTCGTTGTGATCTGAGGGAGTGCTAATGTAGCCCACATGTCTCTGCAGCGGCATGTATGTGTCTGTGCACGTGTGTGTTTGTTTCCATGTGCCTGGACGTCACATGATGCCGAGCACCACTATGGTACTTCAGTAAATCTGTTTTGTGGAAACAGCAGAGCAGTACCATGCACAATTTTGTGACGGATATCCAATGATGAGCAGAAAGGACAGCGGGAGGTGTTAAAGATGAAAAAAAATAATAATTCACAGCCCGACACCTCTCATGCCAGGCTGCAGAGATTTCTAGGAAATGTGGCCTAAACTTACATATGATTTTTGTGCACCAATAAGACTGTATAAAATGGAAACAACCGCTGATTTACTGCAGCAAAATGGGTTAGAATAAATGGCGTCAATAAGAGAGGTTGCTAAATTTTTAACAGCACATTAAATATTTATTCATGACAAACTGTATTTATTGTTTGCACCTTGACACCTTTTATGGATTTGTAGGTCATACATAATACATGTTCTATAGAGCAGATATAATGGCTAATGTAAAAACCACAACGTGTGAATATTAGTTCTTTAAATTTCATGCAAATATATGTGCATAATTGCAATGCATAGTAAATGTAGATATTGACTCTTCCTGTAGAAGAGCAGAGTTTTATTGATGCCAGAATCTGCCAGTTCCTCATATTGATCCAATTTATATGATGGTGGTACTTGTTTCTAATATCATAAGAACATTTCACTGCCATTTTACTCTTGGCCAGGCTAAGAAACTCGGTGAAGTTCCTGCTGGGTGCCTGACAACCTCACAGTGACGACAAGACTCCAGCAAGTCAGAAAACCTAATAAGCACATTTCCCAAAATGTCAAACTGTAGATTCCTTTATGCAAGTTGGCTTTCCTTAAACCATGACCAGAAACTTTTACTAACTGTGGCCTAATATTAACCAAACTTTAATATTAGTGGGGTCGAATCAGTAGTTTTTAGAAGGCAATGACAAACAACTATTTTGTTGTTTAATTTGGAGAACTTAAGGTAAGAGTAGTAAGTGGCTTCTACATGAACAATGAAAAGAGAAAAAGATAACTTTTGGATTACTGTGATCTGAAAGTAAACTTTTTAATCAGTCCTGACTTTTGGGCTTAATTATGTTTTTCTACTTTTCCCAAGCACGCCCAACTGCTGATCATCAGACATCCATTTATCATTTTATCAGGTGTGTCTCTATGCTGTTTTTTGACTGAACTCAGCGAGTAAATGCCTCAGGGTCTAAATAAACCTCTCAGAACAAGCTGAGTCTGAACGTGCCCTGAAATTTCTGATATTATGCATAATGCACGGGGTATACTGTAGAATATGTAAAAAAAAAGAACAAACAAACAATTAGTGTGTGTGTTTCTTTACACATGAGGTGTTCTATGTCTCTGCGCATGAGTGTAAGTGCATGTGTCTCAGCTTGTGTGTTTGTGTATTCACAACTATGAATATAAAACATGCTTGTTGGTCAAACATCCCAAAGAAGCACAAGTGTATTTGCATACGTGTATGTGTGTGGATGCTTACATGCAGCCAACGCACTGAATCACATTATGCACAGTGGACACTCAGGTGATTTAAGCACCAACAAAGTGCATGTCAGATGAGGGAGAGGAGAGAGTATTTGCCCTGTTTAGATGAATAACCAAAGACTTGGCGAACATTGCGTTTGATGTGGATATGAATGATTCAAATTCTCTGGGCACTGTCTTGTCTTTTTATACCCCAGCCCCCACCTTCTTCCTCTTCTTCTACTCTTGTTTTGGACCAGTTCCAATGGTCTAGATCCATCTCCCTCTTCACTCCACCATGTACATTCGTGTGCTGAATTGTTTTAATCTGAGCTGCTGTGAAGCTATTTTCAGGTCTGCCATATCCCTGTTCTGCTATTCAGTCCAGGCAAAAATAGGTGATGTTAAAGATGGGTGAGGGGGGGGGGGGGGGGGGGGGATTTGTTTATTTGTTATCAAAGTTTTTCAATGTTAAAATGAATGATTGTAAATTGGCAGTTATGGCCCTTTAAGTTTGGAAATTTTGGGCCAAGAGGTGTAAGTTTTAAAACTCAATGTATTATCCCTAAGTGTTGCACGGCTGTCATCATGTAAATCAGCATTAAAGAACAACTAGCATCAGCTGAAAATTTTTGCTTTTGCTGATCTCCAGTGGCTACAATAATGTATAACTGTACAGAGGGTGTCTTCAGTGCACCTTCACATCACTATTGGGTGTTGTTGCAGGTACAAAAACGTACACAACGTTTAGGTGTTAAGTGACATTTTTTTTAAATACTGACTTTAAATAAAGTCCACCACCTTCGTTTAGCCAATCAATACAATTTGTAAGGACAAGTGTGTATGTGCAAACATTGCAGTGTAAGTTAATCGTATAAGATTCATGACTCTGACCTTTAGTTACAGCGCCCTCACTAGGCCAATTAGAGTAACAGTTAAACATCAGAATGTTTCAAAATGCTAAGCCTAAAGCATCATGTCTCACAATCACAAAGCCATCAAATTGCACTGTTGAAATGCCCAAATAAATCATCACCTCCACCCCACAAGTCATAAGATATCTGTGTGATAAAGTCCTCAAAATCCAAACATTCAGCTATATACAGCTCAGGGTCAACTGTGTGTGGCACCGCTGAGGGATAGTCGCTTTTCTGAACCTGTGATCTCATTTGTAGATCCTAAAGTTTTCAAGTTGTCAAGCTGAGTAGATATCTTAGTTGGCTTTTTTTTATATTCTAGGAGCATTTGAGTATCATACAGGGTGATGATTGACATCAAACCGTTTTTGATGTAGTCATCAGTCGTCAATTTTTCAAATGCAAATCAACTCATTTCTCACGAGCTCCTTCAGTATATGAAGCTCATGAAAGCAATTGCAATTCCAAATTTCTGCTGTCCTCTAGCTCTTTAATGCAAGAAAGGAAATTATGCGGTGGGTTTTGTGTATGGGGTTTGTTTAGAGTAAATAGATCAAGAAGAATGATAGGTATCAGCCCTGATGGCTACGATGGCTAAAAACCCCGTTCAGAAATTCAAGAATGTCACATTCCCATCCATACTAACTGACTGACAGGGGAACTACGAGGTTTTACCAGCAAATGTGATGACAGAATAAAAAAAATAATGATAAAGCAAATTTACATCCTTTGCTTTTTTGTTTTATGAGGAAAAGTTTTTTTAGAACTGATCTTTCTCACCTTTTGATTGGTCATAAACTGTGAAGGGTATTTTTAAATCTTTTTTATCTGCCATTAACTGACTGGCTGGCATCCAACAGCTAAATATCCTTTATAATATCATTACCCTATACAGCTGCATAATGTATCCAGTCACTCCACAGTGAGTTTAATTTATTATATTTTAAACCTGATTTGATATGACAGGCACTTAACACTAAAAAAAGACCTTTGGTAACCGTAAAGTAGATCAAATGTAGGTTAATAGAGACCGGACACATATTACAGCTAAAGTCTGAAGAGGTTGATATATAACAGTTTTTAATTGGCACGTTTTAGGAAATAAACTACAGGAGATAAGGAAAAGGTCAAGGTTAGTTCACTACTGGGAATCAAAGATGGACTGTGAGTTGTTCCACAGGACAGATATGATGATGAAGATGATGCTGTCAGGATGGACAGTAAGGTTCACACCTGAGGAGATGAGGGCACACGCACCATCATCTGGAAGAGGCGATAAGAAGCCTAAGCGAAAGAGAGCATCACTGTGGATGAAACTAAACCATTTTGCGCACAGGTGAGAAACCTGGAAAATGAACAGATGGGAGATGGAGACGGAGGAAGAAGAAGAAAAGGAGGAAAGAAAAAATAGAAAGGAAAGGACATAAACAGACAGCACACTCACATCTACACAAACCCACAGCAGCAAGAGAGGCAGAGAGAGAGAAGGAGGAAGAGAGAGTGAAGGAGGGAGAGAGAGTGAAGGAGGGAGAGAGAAAGACACAGAGAGAAGGAGGGAGAGAGAAGGAAAGCGCGTCATTATTGGATGCTATAAGGCGCGTAAACCTGGACACGGACTCGGACCGTCAGATTTGAAGTTGCTTTCCGCACGTTAAAGTCTGAATGACCGTGAAACCAGCAGACTGAGAGACAGAGCCGCATCTGAATCGGAATGAAGCTGGAATCTTGAGCAACGGAGCATTTCGTGAATGAAATCTCTGAGTGGAAACATCAATTATCCAGCGGCGCTTCAAGGACTCGATTCACAAAATGAAGCGGGCGACCAGAAAAGCTTCCGATCTGTAGACCTGCTTTATTTCACCAGTTTAAATGGGAACTGGAAATTACATACAGGAACTCGTGTCATTTTTTAATTTTTTTTTTTTTTTTGCGCTTTCTATCCTTGAATGTTGTTCACTAAGGATTCCTTGATCGTTAATGGCCAAATTAATCATCTGTAGGTTTTGTAAGTTCGTTTACACCGGTGACAAGTGAACGTACACAGGTAGCTATTATTATGAAACTACACTAGTTTCACAGAAAGGTTCTACGATGACCCGTTTGGAGACTTGGGCGCATGAAGGACGCGTAGCTCCGGTGCCATTGCGCGCAGCGATACGCACTGCTTCCCGGTGGGTGCGCCTAGTCTGACAGCCGCATGGACGCGGAGGTATTGGTGCTGAGGGGGTATAATTAAAACCCATCAATTTATTGAAACAACTTAAACCCTATGCAGTGTTTTCCATTTGTTTACTGGTACATGTGCTATATACACAAGTAGCCTATTTGTGGTGGGAAAGAGGATTTATTTTGGTTTTATCCGTTAATTGTCAGATGTATTAGTCCATTATTAGATTCCCTGTGATGCAACTTGCAGCAGGTCCGAGCTTTACTATTTTGTGTGAACACATTGAGGTGTTTTAAAGGAGTACTCTGCTGATTCCCTGTCAACCTTTTCATGGGTCACATCTCTCGCCCGCGTCCAGCCGCCTCCTCACGCCCTGTTCAGTGTTGTTGCCTGTGTAGTTGCTGCAGCTGCTTCCACATATAGTACGTTGGTGTTCCAGTGTTGTTAATAACTTTTAGATATAACTTATCCTAGACATTCAAATTACAGCTAAAAACGTGTACGTCACCCAGCAACATTTAGTATGACGTCATTATATAGACTGAGTTTCTCTCCGTACCCCAAATCTGACCGTCCGTGAACAGTTGTGCGTTATGTTGAATGGACCGACCTTCCGCGACCACGACCCGATGCGACTCGTCGACCCGAGGCACCTTCCGCAACTGATGTCCCTTGAGGACCATGAGCCCACCATGGTGGTAGGGACCCTGTGGCCCCGCAACTCCACGCCGGCAGAGGAAGAGGAGGGGGCTCCGGGTCAGCAGCACCAGTCCTTTCCCTGGGTGGTGACCCTGCTGGCCGGCGTCCTGATCACGACCATCGTGGTGGATGTTATCGGGAACCTGCTGGTCATCGTGTCCGTGTTCAGGAACAGGAAACTCAGGAAAGCAGGTAGAGCAGTGAATTTATACTCTAGTAGCCTACCTTGTATTATTCTGTGATCATATTCTAATAGATTAACCTTAAAAACCTTTGGTAAGAGTATTTTTACATCTATGTAGTTATCATATCAATTACATTTTAATTTCTTGCACATTTAAAAAAAAAGTATATTAAAATGTCACAACATAAAAACCCTGTATGAAACAGAAAGGACTGGGTTATACTACTATACAGATACTACTATCCTGTATTATATGAGGCAGATACAATGTCTAATTAGTGTCCATGGACAGCTGTCAAAGTGAACCTCTACACTACCAGCTTATTGATTATAATACATTATGTGTAAACTGCAGTTTTTGGCACCACATTGCACTCTCTGCTCACTATGAGGGTATGAATCAGGTCTGATCAAGCTGGAGAAGTTTTTACTCTTTTAGAGCTCAGTTCTCAGTAACTTTCTCCAGCTTGGCATTTGTCTGTCGCTGCCATGCTGAGCGACTTCAATAACTCAAGGACACTTTGACAGATTGTTTTGCTGCTGCAGACGATCATACGATCAGACACCAAACGCTGGATGACATGTTGTTACGGTTTTATAAAAATGCAGCGGTGACAGAACATTTCTTACCACCAGAGTCTGAAAACGTTGACAATCCAGACCTTAGCTGCAGCTCTGCAGCCGCTGGTTGGGAGACTTGCCATTTTGGCTCCCAGTCAAAGACTTTTGGAAACTAAAAGCAGTGAAGCCATAGTTGGAGACTCACTGTAATGGATGTGTAAACCTGATGTCAGCCCTAAACTGATGTGGACTACAAGAGCAACACTGTGCATAAATAATACAGGCCCTCAGGACCCCTCAGTCATACATACAAGAGAATAAAAATCAATCAAGCTCCTAATTGTTATCTCTCACTCAGCAGCATGCTCTTGCAGAGCCATCTGAAGTAGTACATATCACATTAAAAGCACTTAGTAAGGAGAGCCGCCTTCTTTGCATTCATATGACAATATATGAACACTGATGACTTGCTTTGCCTTTTATGACCTTTGCATCCTAAGTTCATTTGTAAATCAGCCCACTGTACCCATCAATGGGAGAATGTGAAGGAGGAAGGCTACCGCTTCCTCTTTGAAAGCCTGAATGAGCTTCCATTTAGTGAAAGCACTCACCCCAGTTTCTGTGTTAATGGGCTCAGAGATCAACAGGAGGTTGTACTGGGAATATCCTGTGCAGGGAAAATTAATGCTGGCCACCGAATGCTGGTAAAATCTTGTGGAAAGCGGGTGAATCTGTTGGCATCCGGATGTAGTGTTTCCCATTCAATTTACACTTTGTGGTTAAAAAGATCCGTCTTGAAAATCATAATAAAACAGTACATTTAGTAACAGTTTTAATGTTTTAGTGTCAAAATGTTTCACCTTTGTGCCACACAGTAATCATGTTGGTGGAAAAACTGAATCTGACAGACCTGGACATTGATGTTTTACCGCTTTGCGTTGCAGTCTTGGGTCTCAAATGAAGTGAATAAAAAAGAAGTGGCAAAAGGAGAACAAACAGGGTCAGGTTGGCAGGCTTTGCAAGTTAATAATCTTCATCTCTATCAAAGGTCCTTTTCTGTTTTCTGAGTCAGCAGCCTCCAATCATCCAGTCATCGTCGAGCTCCAGAGCTCCACACTTGTCAGAATGACAAATTAGCATCACCATAAATCAATCGAGTAACACCCTTCAGCAAAGCGGTCCCCTACGCATCAGCCCAAGTCATTTGTTTCCTGATTTTCCATCAATCAGAAGGTAGAATCCTGAAATCCCTGAGTGAAAATGTAAGGATTGGGGTTGGACAACGGAACGAATGGTTCACCTGTCTCATTTGTTCTTTTTGCCACCTCCTCATTTATCTGATCTGTCCTCTTCTGTCTTCCTGTCCTCTTTATCTTTTTTACTCTCTCCCCCTTTCTTCGGATGTCCCATCATCTGAACTCTCATCTCAATTCCTCTCCTGCCATTCTAATTCTCCTTTTCTCAGAATCAGCCTTTCTTGTCCTTTTCCATTTTATTAATTAATTCCTTTAGACTCGTCTCCTCACCTTTCCTCTGCTTTCCTCAGTGTCCTATCTTTCCTCCCTTTTCAATCATTCCTCTTCAGTCCTCTCAAGCACTCTTCCCTTTCCTCCTCTCCTGCCCTGTCAGGTCTCACTCTAGATTCCTACACATTCTTCTCTTCATCTCTTCTCCTGCCAGTGAACTACTGTCCCATTTTCTCCATGTTCCTGGCCTCCCCTCCATCAATCTATCTTCACTCTCCATCTTCCCTGTCAGAGACAAATTACCTGATCATCCGAAAGTTCACAGCACAGTTCATTCAGTGTCACCACATCTACACAAAACTGACAGATTCCCTTCATTCATAATCTACTCAGACTAAATACGCCTGCTTGGGCTGCACAAAACACCGTAGATCAGCAGTTCTCAACCTTTTCACAGCCTGGCGACAGTCTCAACTGGACAGAGTAATCCACGGCAGAGCTGGCTGATGAAGAACTCTAAATGTCTGCTGATCATTCTTTATTAAATGTTATGGTTTAGTAGCGTCCAGATGACTGCAGGAAAAAAACAAGAGCTGCTCAACAAGGTGCTAAGACTGACTCTCTGTAGCCTCTGCAACATCACTCTCTGCAACATTTTAAAACTGAGAGTTTAGGTTTACACTTTTTGAGATCCTGTCAGTTAAAGAGAGACAATCTAAATTTGGGCAACAAGATGTTGAAGCCAATAAACGAAAAAAACTCCTGAAACAAGCCCATACTTAATATCTTTTTACTGAAGCTATCATTGGGGCACCGAGACATACATTACTGAGAGTAAGATTAACTTCATATGGGGAAAAAACATTCATTTTATATTCAGTTCACAACTGTATCAAGAAACCTTTAGAGGAATCTTAAAGAACTGCGTTCAGATATACAAAGCAAAGCGCATTCTCTGTCTGTGCACAGTCTGACAGCACCAGATGTTTACTGTATATGTGTGTGCAGTTCAGACAAGCCGTACTCAAAACTCACCAGGAGCTCCAGTTGACTCTCTTCTTTTTTGCTTCTGTCTGTTTGATTCAAACTACTTGAGATAACTGCAAAATATTCAGCTTGAGTAGACATGTTTGTGCCACGTAGAGAAAATCTGCCACAGTTTGCTTTTCATGTTTTTCCATCGACTCTTTTTGCATTGGTAACATTACTTTACCGTACATAACTTTACAAACCAAACTATCAGTGTAATAATGGAGAAAACAATCAGCGTATTAATCCATATAAATAAATATATAAACAATCATTTGTTGCAGTCCGACACAAAAGAGCTTAAAATGAGTAACTGCTTTCACATTAATGCGTGACTAATAATAATCCAATGAGAGAATATATAATAGTACATCAGTTCAAGGGGACATTTTAATACTTTAAATACTTGATTATTCTTACACACCATTATGGTGGTAACACTGATGAGTAAGTCAAGACAGCAGCCTTTTAAACAGTCCATTTGTCTTATTATGAATTTGATTTCATACAAGTCAGAGTCCTTTCCCCTTTTCACCTCACTGAATGAATCATCCTCGTTAATCGTTAATTACTCCCAGATTTGGAGTAATATGAGTGAAACGTGATGCTGACACATGAATAAACCGTTACAGTTTCAGTACTGAGTGACTGCACTGTCAGAGGAAGGTCACAACTTGTCTCGCCTGAGACATATTGGGGTGGCAGCGCAGCTTTTAGCCGTCAGATAAATTGGCCTCTGGGGAACTGTCACTATTTTAATAGATCAATTCATGGAGAAAATAATCAGCATATTAATCCATAATGAAAACAATAATTTGTCGCAGTCTGAAAATGAGCTCCAGCTCAACCAACTGCAACAGTAAAATCCTGCTTTAACGAACATTCGTTAACCTACATTAACAAATGAGGAGTAATGATAGAATATATAATAATGTAACAGTCACAAGGGACATTTTTCTGCATTGAGTACTTTTACTTTTACACATTTCTGATTATTCTTACATACTTTTAGTTACGTGCAGGCATTTTACTTGTAATGCATTATTTTTACAGTGTGGTATTAGTACTTTTACCTAAGTAAAATATCTGAATACTTCCTCTACCACTGCCATTAGAATTCATTGTTACCCATCTGACATCATCTGCCATCCTCAGTAAAGGAGCAAGCACCTTTTAAAAGTCACTTTTCCTGCAAGGGGAGAGTATTGGAAGTATTCCGCTATTACAGAGTGATGTTAGAGAGTTCCTCCTCCTTCTCCAACAACTCTAGCCAAGTACAGATACTGGATTGCAGGAAGCAATTTCACCAGACAACAGCCAGGTCTTTGAAATTGGAAGCAGCCATCAGAGCCCAGATATTTTGTATCTGTAAAGCCTGTTCTGGCTGTGACAGATAAATGCGACGACCGTGGTGATAACACTGAGCGAGTAAGCCAAAACAACCACATTTTAATTATACTAGTCTATTTGTCTTATGAATTGGATTTCATTCATGACAGGTCAGAGTTCCTTTCCCCTTTTCATCTCACTGAATGTATCCTTCGTGTTAACTGCAGATATTAAGGGAATATGAGTGAAATGTAATGCTGACACATCAATAAACCTTTTAGCTTCCGTATTGGGAGGCTGCACTGTCTGAGCAAGGTCGCAGCTGGCTGCAGAGAGCACAGCTGAGAGAGATCGCGGTGGCAGCGCAACTTTTAGCCTTCACATTAATATCATGAGACATAATAGTAAAGCTTGCTGATCCACAGAGAGCAAAAGAGAGATGTTATGAAATCAGCAACAGGTGGCAGGAAGCTTGACAACCCAGCAAACATCTGCTGTATGTATATAAGGCATGTGCTCCGCCGCAGCGTATGACATGAAGTCATGGCCTCCCTTTTCCCCAACATCATGTCTGATGTGTCTGACCTGATCACAAGCAGCTGCCCGACCTCGTCCTGCAGTTG